ATTTCATCACCACCTCGTGAATCATCAGGCTACTTATTAGACTTAAAACTTACATTTAAATATAAGTCTAATGGTTATTGAAGAAATTGGTTGATTTCTAGACAGTTTGTATTCTTACGGTACACGAGCCAAAGTTACAAAGCATTATTCCCACACCACGTGGTTTAACGCGTAATTGAATCTCCCTAAGCGTGAGGCCGTCGGCGTCTCAAATGGTAACGAAAGTGTTCTTAAAATTTTATATCGAAGTCGGAGTTTGAGTCGGTTCCATTTTACCGACTCCGACTCCACGGCCCTGATGTTAGTTACCATAAATACCCATTGCAGAAAAACGCTCCATACCGCGAAATTGAATGTCTTCAGCTGCAGGTTCTTGTTCTTTCACATTATAATTCGTTGTACTCGCAATCATTTTTCTATTAATCTAGACTTTGCACGTCTATGCTTCTTCTGACTGCAACAAAACAAATATTTGTCGTTTATTTATTATGCCTAGCAACGGGTCGCATTATCAACAATGGGCAAGACCAACAATACGAGTTGCAGGCGATTGAGGTGCTGTCATCTGGTGGCTGTGACTGTATCTTTTTTTACAATGTATCCACAGATTATATTTCAAGAACAACCGATGATAACTAAACATCTTAACAATTCGTATGAAACGTGTATATTGGATTATTGTTTTTTGGAAAGATTTTCAATTGCACAAAAGTATCTTTTGTACGACGCACTTTTTCTACAAGCGATTCACAGCCCATTTGTTTCCACAGCAACGAAAGGTGATTGTTGACGTCAATAAATATCAGTAAAATATAAAATATTGGCCAAAACAATGTTTTTTTATTTTTAGTGTTCTGTCTGACGACAGGTCCATATGAACAGGATCCTTCCATCCTTTTCTCGGACTGGGACCTGTTCATATACGTTCTTGGCAGATGATCCAGAAGTGGTTTGCCATTGCCTTCTTCTGTGTGTGAATGGAGTAATTGTTGGGATGCCACGGAGAAACCGGGGAAGCCCCCGGAGGAAAACTCCGTGTTGCCTAGACCACGGCCTTGCCCAACACAAGTTATAAATTCGGGCACCGCCGGGAATCGAACCCGAGACCCCAGGATTACAAGGCCAGCCTTCTAACCGCTAGACCACCGTGGCACGGTAAAAAGGAGTTCCTATTGTTTCTTCAGTAAAAAAACATGGATGCTTTACACTTTATTGAGGCAATTCAATTCAATTCTTCAATTCTTTATTATTTGTGTGCTGTATCAACAGCCTGATGGCCAATTACAGATACAGCACAGAGACGAGCTCACGAACACAATGAAGACATAGAAGGTAAAACAAGCAGAATATTAAATACATTAAAACGGAGGACGTAAATACACAAGAAAATTGTAACTAAATATATTATCATATTTTACTGATTTTACTGAGTTAGCTTTCGAGGTGTGCGGACGTCTTGCTCCTATATTTGCTGTTTCATCGTAATTCTAGCTACGAGTTACGGGATTCCAATAACTCCCGTGGCCACCATGCCTGCGAACAAAGATTCTTGTGGCGTGTGTGGCAAAGCCTTTTATGGCCAATAAAAATATATTAAGTGTTGTGGGCCCTGCGCCAATGGATTTCATCTCGCCTGTCTTCAGATCAGTGAATTTGAATAAACATATTTTATGGATTCAGGGGTTTCCACCTTAAAGTGCGCGTCCTGTGTTAAGAATCTAAGACCGCAGCGAAGCGATGATACGCCGATTAAAACGCGATCGTGTTCGACCTCTGACCTATCCAAGAAAGTGGTTTCCCCTGAAAAGTCTCTTGTTTTGCCACTAGGTACTGATGCCGACAAATGCGAGACTGATAAATACGAGGTGCGATCGGAAAGTTTCAAGACTGTGTCAATAGAGGGCGAACCGGATGTAGTACGAGCTTCTGCCGCTAGGGGGTGCGGCCTACATTCATAGTGAATCAGTGTGCCAGCCGGCATCATCGAATTAGCATTTGTTTCTTAGTTACGGGCGTTTTGGTAGTGCATTACACCGACCCTCCTGCGATTTCGGAATGGCGCGTGTGCATCAAATTTTGCCAAAGACTCGCCAAAACCGCTACGGAAACCTATGAAATGCTAAAGCAAACATTTGGGGAGTCCGCAAACTTTTGTGTGGCATTCACGTTTTAAAAAGGGCCGGCCGAACCTCTGTCGATGATGACGAGCGTTCTGGACGACCATCTTCGAGCACAACGCCCGAAAAAGTTACGAAGATCGACGTCGTACCATCAACGACTAATGCGACATTGTTGGGATAGGCTATGGGACCTGTCAGCTGATTCTAAAGGAAGAACTCCACATGCGACGCATCCTGTCTGAGGACCAGAAGCAGAATCGACTTCTCGTTTGTCAGGAGCTCAAAGATCTTGCAAGAACCGACCCCAACTTCCTTTCTAAGCTCCGTGTGACTTCTTCCTCTTCCCAAAGATGAAAATTCAGCTAAAGGGAAGGAGATTTGAGACGATAGAAGAGATTCAGGCAGAATCGCAGATGGTGCTTGACAGGCTGACAAAGAAAGATTTCCAGGGATGCTTCCAGGCTTGGCAGCGGCGCTGGGATCGTTGTGTTCACTCCCAGGGGAACTACTTCGAGGGTGATGGATGAATTTAATACATGAGATAAGTGTACGGGTTTTTATACGCGCAATCTGTAAACTTTCCGATCGCACTTCGTAGAAGTAAGTAGCCTATAAATTGGTGGATAGATGGAATAATAATATTCCCTGCAGACATTTCCACGTCTCCTCATTTCTGTATGTAGATTACTAAACACGAAAATTGTAAGGCTGAAATTAATAAGCTGCGAGGTCTAGTGGATCATCAACCCATGCAGCCCAAAGTGCAGCACCAGGGATCATTGTCCTCCTTGCCGGGTTCCAAACCCAGAAAGGAAGTTGTTACGACTGATCAGCACAAATCTTTTGCCTAGACTTCTGCCGAGTCAGGAGTTAAATCTTACAAGGATGGTGCATTAACTGGCTTGCGCAGCAAGGAAGTTCCAGGACAAATGGACTCTGATGGTTTTATTACAGTTACCCACAAGAGGTCTTCTCAGGTAACTCCAAGCAGCGTCGTCAACCTCTGATTAGAGTGCGTAACTGTGTCGCACTTCCATTTTTTTCTAGAAGGGAAAAGGCTCATTTTGTTTCCCGTTTTAGTCCAGAGGTTACATCTTTTGAGGTGGAAAGAGCGCTTAAGTCTTAAGAGGCTGGTCTGCACCAGACTTAAATCTAAATTTGATTCTTATTCGTCATTTCATGTTTTAGTTAACGAAGATGACTTTCCTTTAGTTAATAACACTGGTGTGTGGCCGAATGGGTGCCTTATTGCCCCCTTTTATGGTAAATTGACTCCTGATCATGTGCATTCCTTCCGCGCTCCTGGTAAAACAATTACAGTAGGTGCTTCGTCTGCTGGTAATATACCTATTGTGCCTGAGAAAGGCTCTGTTCCCCAATGATTATGACTCTGGACTACTGTGATTTTGATATCTTTTATTAAAAAGTCAGAGGTCTGCGGACAAAATGTTGCGATTTCTTTGACAATGTTTATGCTAACAAGTTCAAAATTTTTTGCATTATTGAAACCTGGCTTAATGACACTATATTGAGTTCTAATTTATTTCCTGATTCTTACTACGTATTTCGTGTTGACAGAGACTATTTTACTTCCAATAAGAAACGTGGAGGCGGCGTACTGATTGCTGTCTCCAAGTCTTTATATGGGGTTAAACGTAGATTTGATTTGGAGGTCACGAAAGAATGCGTGTGGATAGAAATTCCTGTTAGAGATAATTATAATTTACTTATAGTAAATCATTATTTTGCACCTGATTGCGACATTAAAGTAGTTGAAAACTATTTAAAATTCATGGAAGTAAATTTAAATTCAAATATTTTCCGGGTAGTTATGTTGGGTGCTTTTTAATGTGCCTAACTTTGATTGGTTTAATGGCATCCCCTTTCCTAACTCGTACTATTATAACAAAATTAAGAAGGATTCCGCTCCACACAGTTAGTTATTAGAAAATGGCTAGTGGATTTCTAGGGCAGGGGCGATCACTAACGTCAATAAACACTAAAACACATTTAACTTAAGTAACTAACCGTTCTTTACATTTGTAATGAGTTTAAGCTTTTAATTCAGTCCGGATCTGACGTAATGGATGGAAGGGCCATTAAACATTTGTGTTATGTCCAAGGGAGAGTTTCTAATTTAATTCCATAATTTCGAAGTGATGTTAATTTACACGTTGATGCATATATTCAAAGAAACATCGAGCATTTAATCACGAAGTGTCATAGGGAGCGCTGAAAACGTAGGTGACACAGGAGTTTCAGAGATAACAACACCCACAGGACAATTTTCCCAGCACGACTTTGTCTGCTGCAAATCAACACGTGTTCTCAAACTCCAGTTCCTTGTGGTGGTACCACTGGCAAACTATAGCAGGGCAAAAGGAAAGAAGACATTCTAAAATGGGATTTACAAACAACAAAGAATAGTTAACGTAAACTATGTGCAGGATCAGGTTCTGGAAATTCTGAAGGTAATACAAAGTAAATTGAAATAAGAACATGCACATAAAGGAAATGAAGACAAATTCAGTTTAGAATAAAAAATGCAATAGAAGAAAGAGCAGAGAATTAAATGAAGAGATGGAACGGAAATGTAAGACAACAAATGAAAATGTGTGATCTTAGCGACACTGGGAAGAAAAGAAACGAACATTAATGAAGATGAGATGCAAAAATACGCAGTTCTATAGAAGGGAATGCAAAACACAGATGATAGTGGCTGCTCAGGTGAAAGAACCCTGTGACCGCGAGTTCAAATCACGGTCGGGACATGGACACATGCCTTCATTTCTATGTGCTTTAATTTGAAGAAGAAGCCCAACAAATGTTTGCAAGAATCTATCTAGGGTTAATGCTGACTTGGAACAGATCACAGAATCTAAACTATGAAAGCTGAAGTCTTTGTCACTTTGATACATAACAACAAAAAACTAATTGCTTCCGGAAGTAATCTGTCATCATGACATAAAGACATTTTGATCGACTCATCCCGTAAGAATGATGATGCATGCTCATACACCCATCAAAAGTGTTGATGTCAGCAAATAAGTGGCCCCTAGAGTTTCGCTTCTGCTCGACGGGCGACACTCAGTTGCCTCGTGGCTTAGAGAAACGTCAATCTCCAAAAAGTGTTCTTTACTACTCTCCAAAGGCAAAACGAGAAAGCGAAATCATTCGTGGAAGATGAAGAACCTGGTTCCAGGAAGTCATTGCCGATGTTCATACAGACGTTAACGTTCATGACGTCTATTCTTATTGGTTGACTTCCGTAACCGTCTCATACTTGGTCAATCCGTGTTCAGAGCTCCATGGTTGGGCACAGAGCACCCGTATTTCGTAGACCCCAAGTTCAGATTAAGTGTTCGGAGGCAGGTTACTCTGACCGAAGTTTCCGTGCCTTCCCTCTGTCCCTGCAGTCTCTCCACTGTTCGATGCTCTATAAGAAATGGAAGAAG